TTGTATAATTTACTTTTATTAAATTATTGTATTTACATTGCATATATTTGTATAGTTGGTTTACCTTTATATATATGAAATATGATACACATTCACGTATCTGGAAGAGTAAATTGTTATCCTTTAGTGGTAAACTTGTCTTACTGAAATTTGGCCTTCATTCCACCCTAATCTATTTTCTTTCATTCTTCAGGACACCCAAAGGTTTATTTGGTGTCATTTGGTGCCCTCTAAGATATTTTGCTTTGCTTGGAGGGTAATGTTAGATAGAATTCATACTAAAGTAAATATTGCCAAGAGACAAGTATTTCATGATACTCATTCTTCATGTGTATGGTGCAATCAAAGGGTGGAGATTTCTTCACTTATATTTTTTGAATGTCAGTTTTCTTATCATCTGTGGATATTTTGTTTTGAGTGGTGTGGTTTCCAATTTGTGCTGTCAAATAACTTTATCGCTCATGTTGATCAGTTTCTGTGGTTGCCTCTGTAATTCAAAAATGAGATATAGGTGGTATGTGATTTGGTTGTCTGCTTTATGGAGTATTTGGTTAGCTCGGAATGCATTATTTTTTTTAGGACATGTTTTTATCTATATAAGATGTGTTTGAGCTGGTAAAACTCCGCTCTTGAAAATGGTTAAAAGTGATAGATCAAAAGTTTTCTTATCACTTATGCGCTTGGACTGAACAATCTTCTATCTGTTTAAATTTATCTTAATGTGATCTTTGTTGGTGATGTTAGTTTCTGATGTTCTTCGCTAATGATTAAGAGGTTATTTTTTTTATTATTGATGGACTATGTTCTTTGATAAGGTTATGCAGGGTGGCTGTTTATTTCCTTTGACGAGAGTCGTTTTCTTTTTATCGAGTTGGTTTATTTTGTTGTTACATGGGTGCTATTTTGCATGTTTTTAAGATTTAAATAACTCATTATGATGTAGTAGGAATACATTAGTTGTGATTGACTTTTGTTAAATTGGATCGGCGAGATTATTATTATTAAGTTGACTTTTTTATAATTTTGGTTGTTGTGTTTTCTTGTAATAAGTTAGAGTACCCTTTTCACTTTCTATGATTAATTATTTTTTTTGCCTATAAAAAAAATTATTATAGCATTAAGTATTGGAAACATGACATATCGTGGCATCTTCCCTACTAGTGCTAAATAAATGGGAGTCCATTGGATTCTCTAGGGTAATCCATTTGGTTGTACCGATGTTATGCCATTTTCCTGAAATTGACGTTTGTGGCCCCGTTTTACTTTTCTAATATGTATATGTTTGGTTCGTCAAGGCTCAAGATCCCTTTAGGCCCGCAAATTTTGCATGCAATAAAACATGAAAAAGAGGTTTTTTGTGGGCCCGACAAATATGTTAAAAATAGCCCTGGTATTCTTTTTCTTTTTTTTAGATCAATATTTTACTTTACTTTATCACTTGAAAGTTATTAAAAGTATGGTTACATAACCCCATAATCAATTCTACCCTTTAAAATCAAGGTAATACTATACAAAAAAAAAAAAAACTGTTCGTTTAACTTCACTATAAAATAATAATTAATTACTAGTATTTTTATATGTGTAACATATAAGATAAATTAATTTATTTGATTAATTTTTTTATGTACATATATTAAAATAACTATTTTAAATGAAAGAGCTTTTAAGAAATTTTTTTTGACAAGAGAGTTTATAGTTACGACAATGTTTTAAGAGTTTATTATTATTATTTTTGTTTTATCTTTTACTTCATTTGTTTTTTAATAAGTGCCATTTTAAGATGTTTTATATATTACATATAAACAAATAAAAGTGAATAATAATTTTATAAAATTAATTTTATTATTATTTTTTTATATAAATAATGGAACGCAACAAATTTTTAAAAAATACCCTTAGGTGTATAAATAAAAAACATATAATTAATATTACAGTGAAAAATTAAAATGATACTTATTTTATATAAAATCTTTTATTCTTAAAAAATAATGTTTATCTTAATTTTTATAAAGTGAAATTTAAAATAATTTGATATAAATATTATCTTGTTAAATTTATTAATATTTTTACATAAGATTAGGCATCCATTCAGTTCATATATGTAAAAATATAATTTTTTCATTGTTTTTTTGAGATACAATTAAAAAAAATCGAATACCTAACAAAAATTATTGTTTACTCACAATACCAAACATTGTCACTTGGGCTTAAAGGTGGTAATCATATTAATTTTATTAATAAATGAATAAATATATCATAAGTTTACCTATATCATAATATATTTATTTTTTTATATATATAAGAAATATGTTTTTTTTTCTTCTACTGAATCAATCTCGTCGAAGTAATATAATGGATTGTCACTTCATTTTCAAGTTAGAGATTAAAACTAATTTTTAATTGAACAATATAAGTGTTAAATAACTTGAATTAAAGATTATTATATATATATTATCATAATTTTTTTGGTATAGATATTAAAATTATCATATATATATATATATATATATATATTACCATAGTTTTTTGTTGGTATAGATGTTAAAATTATCGTAATAAAACTCAACAAAATTTAAATAATTAATAATATTGTTTTACAGTAAGTGAGTACTAGTATTTATTTATTTGTACTGCACGTGCAGAATTCAGTGATGATGACACTCATCCCTTTCCCTTCTGAGAACACGTGAAAAACTAAGAAATGAAAATAAAAATACAAATAGATGATATTGTTTTATGAGAAAAAAACAATTTGAGAGGAGCTTGTTTTTTAACATAACTATTTTTTTTTACTGTATAAAAAATACAATCACGATAACAAGTTAAAATTTAAGATTGTATGTATATATTGTCTCAATTTCCCACCGCTAAAATTGTGATTAATATGCTTATCTTTTACTTTTAGTTAGTTAAATTATATTTTTTTTTAGTTTTTTTTTTAAGATAAAAAAAATTATAAAAATAATCACAATGAGAATTAAATCTAACTCCATATATTTCTAATTATCTCAAGTCCTCCTAACCTAACCACTAAATTATAATATAAAAAATATAAAAAAAATAATATAAAAATATATTTATTTAAAAAAATTAATGAAAACTCAACGCGTAGGTGTGGTGGAAGCGGAACAGTACAAGTGCACCGGAAAGTCAACATGTTGTGGTTACATTATCATGATTTGATGCTAGTGATTTTATAACGGATTTGGTTGTGCTTAATTTTAAAATTTATTCTTTCAAATTCAGAAGTGTGAAGTAACTGAGAAATACTGTATGGAAGTATATTTAATATTAACTAATATTTTATTACACGATAAGTATTTATTTTATAAAATATTAGTGTAAAAAAGTACTTTGTATTTTTATATTTTAAAATAATAATTGAAGTGTTATATATATATATATATATATGAGAGGTTAAGAATTAGAGGTATAAGTGACTTTGAGTAATATTTAAGAATGTGTGAGAAGTTTGAATTTTTTTTCTTCAGAAAAGTGGGAAAAGATAAAAAATAAATAAATTAGTGTTTTCATAACAAAAAAGACGGTTATTATTTTTAAAGATGACATTTATATTTTAAATATATGTATTTTTCTTATTTTATCTTTAAATATAAATTAGCGGGAAAAAATAAAATACAACTATAACACTATATGATTTTATTAAGTGTTGTTCATTTTATTAAATTTTATGTTATGTTATGTTGAGAAACATTGAAATTAAGTAATTTCTTATGAGTTTTAGATGTTTAAATATTTTTTGGCTAGATGTCCAATTTGATTCTAAGGAGAAAAAAAATATAAGATTTTTTTTTTGAAAACTAAACTCATAAACTCATTAGACAAGCTAAAAAATAAAAGGTCTCGAATTTTGACTTCCTCTTCTTCTACTTTCTAAACTTCTCAAGAGGAAAACAAATTTTCATTGGTACTTGAGTGTTGATCGAGAACTCTTAACTAAAGATCATTTTGTTGAGGTGTGATATGGAGCTTTCTGAAACTCGACGTCTACTCTTCCTCTTTTCTCGGATTTGGCGATTTCAAAAGTAAAGGAACTCAAGACTTTGATTATGTTGAATTGTTTGAGATGTATGTTGATTGATGACAATCAAAATGTTATTATGTTGGTTGATTTCAAATTGAATGATGGATGTTCTAAATTTTGTCGTTATGGAGTATGTTGAGGTGATCTTGGTGATTTTAGCTAAATCATGGTTGCACACAAGTTTTATGCTTGTGTTTTTAGTTCATGTGTGATAATGCATGTAATTATTGTGTTGTTAGTATATTATGTTAAGTTATGATGAGTTACATTAAAGTGTTGTATTATTTAAGCTAAAAAATATGTTATATCTATTAATAATATAAAAAGGAAGAAGTTTTGTAACAACTATTTTTCCTCTAAAAGTTTTTTTATTTATTTATATGTAAATGTGAATCATTCTTAGTATCCTCCTTAACATTTGTTTTAGTATATGTAAAAGAGATAATATGTGATATTAAGAAGAGAGAAATATATCGTTAGTTAAACATATATATTTTTTTGTTTAAAAAATACTAAAAATGTTTTTATCAACACACTTGCACACATTCTTCTAAACATATTCACTTATTACTTAAAATTTATTAAGTATTACTAAATTAATAGAGATAATCATTAAATAATATATAATACTTATATATTTAATAATTTTTAATAAAATTAAATTAATAAAAAAGTGCGTTCGAATAATATGTTAGAGAATGGTCTTTAGATTTTTTCCCTGATACATTATAAACTAATTTTACTTGTCTAAGCTTAAATTATGTGAAACTCAAATAAGTTTATCTATGTTAAATTATCTAATAACATTATTATTTAGCTATATTTTCTCACAACTAAAATTAATTTGACGCGTCATAATATATAATTTTTTAGCTGATCATAAATATGATGTAGTTATTAATTATTAATAATAGAAGAAGAAGAAAAAAAAAAGTGCAGCATAGTACTTCTTCAGTTTGGCCACTATCCAGACCCGGATATGATGCGGCCGGTTGAAAGCCAAGCACATTGTCCTCAAAGTGAGAGAGTGCTTGTTTCCTTTTCCTTTTCTTCTTTGGGTAATTTACATATTCCCAAAATACCCCTTCCATCTGTCGCCCATTCAAATCTGTAATTCCATTTCGACCACCCTCTCTTTCTAGCTCCTTCCTGTAAACCAGAGCAAGGAAGCACTCTGTTCAGAATAGAACTTTCCTTCGCTTCTTTCGTTCATGGAGTTTCAGAGGCGCCAAGATCAGAGCCTCTCCCAGCGCAAGGGCCAGAAGCGGAAGCTCGACGAGGAACACCACCACGAGCGGCAGATCTCGCCGCCGCCGCCCACCGCCGTCGAGCGCGCGGCGCTCCTCTCCGACGTCGCCGAACAGGTGAGCATCCTCGAGTCGACTTTCACGTGGAACGAAGCGGACCGATCCGCGGCCAAGCGCGCCACTCACGCGCTCGCCGATCTCGCGAAGAACGGTAAATCGACGCCTCCGATCTCGCCGCGTGTCGCTGCGTTCGTTTGGATTGCGGTTGCGGTTTGGTGTTTCTTCTTCAGTGTTTCTGTGTGTCGGTTGCATGTGCGTGTGTGAATCGATTGGTGCTTGTGCTTGCAGAGGAAGTGGTGAACGTGATTGTTGAAGGAGGTGCGATTCCGGCTTTAGTGAAGCATCTTCAGGCGCCGCCTCTTAGTGACCGCGTCCAGAAGCCATTGCCGTTCGAGCACGAGGTTGAGAAAGGGAGCGCTTTCGCACTAGGACTTCTCGCCGTCAAGGTATTTTGATTTTTCTCTAACTCTTATTTTGGATTTATTTCATACTTAATTGTTCACACCTCGTACCTTGTTTTATTTTGTAATTTTGATATATGTTCCTTAGCGTTCTGCAAGTTCTGAAGTATATATACGAGATTATGATTGTAAATCCTAGGCTCTGTTTAATTTTTTTTTTTTAATAAACACTCATGGAGAATAAAACAAGATGGTAAAAAGAGCTAACCTTCTCCCATAAGTTAAAATCAGCTATTGAAGAAGTAATATGAGAGCTTCTAAAAATTAGCTTGTGCATAAGCTGGTTTTAACTTATGAGAGAAACTCATTTCTTTTTACCTTCTTGTTTTCTTCTCTTGTAAGTGCTTATTGAGAAGTTTATTCAAATAGGACCCAGGTATTTGTAATGGATTGGAGTATTCTGACTAAATGGTGCGAATGATTAATAATAGTAAAGGGAGGCTTTAAAGATTATACATGAGTGTGTAGTCTTGCTAAATACCGTGTTTCGTGTATTATATGTGTTTTTTCGCATGATAATAATCGTGAATTGAATGGAGTCCTTTCTGAATTCTCCGTTATAACTTATGCATGTATTTGAAGGACGAGAATGGAAATGTTGGAGGTTTATTCCATCATCCTGTATCAGTTTCAGTTCTGTTCTGTTCCATTTTGCAAGTACTATTTCTTCATGCTATCCCATTCAAAAGATGAGGATCAATTAAAACAAAGAGAAGGACAGAGGATGTGAGGGAAAAAGGGTTTAGAATCGTCTGAGAATATAACTATTGTTATTGGTAATAATGCATATGGTTTGTCCTCATGCATCAATTCCATAAGCGGATATGCCATATCAAATCAAGCCTGCTGGTTGCTTGGAATCATTTATTTACTATTACTAGATATTACGAGTTTGTCTGAATGCAATCTGTTTACTGGATGAGGCATTTTGTCTACCTTAAGTTTACCCTTTTTCTATGGTTTTGATGGTAGCCAGCAGTGGTATAACTTCACTGAAGATTTTCAAAGGGTAAAAATTAGGGTCTAGGTGGAAAAGTTACGGTAGGATAAGATGATGGGGGCAATTATTGGAAAAGATGACACATGCCTAACCAAAAACTTGTAAACTGTGGGATATGTTAGTTTTACAATATTACTGCTTGTTGGATTCAAATACTTTAAATGCTTTAAAATAAATGCTTGTTGAAAACTTGTTTAAATTTTTAAATGATCACAAATTGAATCAAATCTCAATATATTGGATGAAGGGTAGAAGTAATGGAAGGGGATGTCCTTAAGCATTCTACTTGGTGCAAGAAGCCACTTGATTTAACAAACAGTCAATTGATGGGGTTTTTATTGTTGTATATAGATAACATATAATTTCATATGATTGCCGTGTAACTTTTAGATTTAGTTGTACTTTTCTTCCTTTTTTTTCTAGCAAATTTATTTATCTGTTAAAACAAGCATATAATAGCTAAACTAATATTTTATTTGAAATGCTTAATACAGCCAGAGCATCAACAGCTCATTGTTGACAGTGGCGCCTTAACACATCTTGTTGATCTTTTAAAGAGGCACAAGAATGGCTTAACTTCTCGTGCAATTAATAGTCTCATTAGAAGGGCTGCAGATGCTATTACTAATCTTGCTCATGAGAACAGCAGCATTAAAACCCGTGTCAGGTTTTGCTTCTTTAAGTGATACCAAATATTAAAATTTAGTCTGGATTTTGTTCTCAATATTATCTGAACTTAATTTGTAGGATGGAAGGTGGAATTCCACCACTTGTTCATTTGCTTGATTTCGCTGATGCAAAGGTGCAAAGAGCAGCTGCTGGTGCTCTGCGAACCCTGGCTTTTAAAAATGATGAAAATAAAAATCAGGTAAGTGGTCATTTCTTTAAGTTGGGGTTTGTATATGTTACAAGTAAGTCACATGACATATTAAATTTCCAGATTGTTGATTGTGATGCTCTTCCAACTTTGATTTTAATGCTACGTTCTGAAGATGCTGCTGTTCATTATGAAGCGGTATGGGTTGTGAAACTTTAATTATAAATGCAAGATTTTGCAATAACCTTGAGCTCTTTCTTTGCACATCTCTTATATTGCACATGCAATGAATTGGATTTTATCAGGTTGGTGTGATTGGAAATCTAGTCCACTCTTCACCTAATATAAAGAGAGAAGTTCTTCTTGCTGGAGCTTTACAGCCAGTTATTGGATTACTTAGGTATATTCTCAATATTGGACCCTGATAAACTGCAACGCCCCTTACCTCTCTACCTTGATTTTATTTTATTATTATTATATGCCCATTTTATTTTTTTGGCAATAATATTCTGTCAGACATACTCCATGAAAGGTATCTTTCAATTAATATGTTATAATGTTTTATTTAACAGTTCCTGCTGTTCTGAAAGCCAGAGAGAAGCAGCCTTGTTACTTGGACAATTTGCAGCAACTGATTCAGACTGCAAGGTAAGCATAAGCTTCAGAATGGAAAGGCTTATTTGCCTGAATAGTGAAGAGGGGCTGAAAGGAAACAATTCATAACTGAACTTTAGTAGGGGAAAATTGTTCAATAACATCTTCATTTCCAAGTTTGATTGCTTTGTATTATTTATTTCTTACTAAATAAAGGTTTTGATGGTCAGAGTACTGGATAGTATAGTTGCTACTCTTGAGATGATGTATCTTATATTATATTCTGTCGCCCCTAGTTTTTACCATTTATTCCACATGGTCTTTTTTAGGTTCACATTGTACAGAGAGGTGCTGTTCGACCTTTGATAGAGATGCTTCAGTCTCCTGATGTACAACTCAGGGAAATGTCTGCTTTTGCGTTGGGGAGATTGGCCCAGGTTGTTCCTTTTTTCTTCTTCAGGTTTTATAATTTACTTGCGTTAGTTGGGAATGTAAAGTTGCCAATATATTCCTGGAAATAAGTTAGTATTTTCTTTATCTGCATAATAGTTTTTGAATGTGTAAGTTATTCCATTCATTTCCATCTTTGCATTAATTCTTATATTTAGTAGGCTTATCTCTGAGAATGGAAGTTATCTTAGTAATATATTACAACTTTTTATATACAACTACTATGCACTATTAAATTAGCCTTACACCATATGCATTTCTTTTGGCCTAATATATATGTATCTTTTTTTTCTTTATTTCAGGACACACATAACCAGGCTGGTATTGCACACAATGGTGGCTTAGTGCCGTTGCTCAAGCTTCTTGACTCAAAAAATGGGTCTTTGCAACATAATGCTGCTTTTGCTCTTTATGGCCTTGCAGATAATGAGGTATGTTATAACTGAGAATTCAAATGAAATGAAGATCTTCTGTCCTAATTGCTTAAAAACCTTGATACTTCTAGACTTAAGTTAATTAACTATTCTCTTTTTTTGGTTATTTATTTTATTTTGTCCCGTAGGATAATGTGTCCGATTTCATTAGGGTAGGTGGAGTTCAGAGACTGCAGGATGGAGAATTTATTGTTCAAGTAAGTTTTCTCTTTAATACCTACTTTAGCTTTGATTTCAGGGTTTCTTCTTTTACCCTTGGATGCCTATATTAAAGGGAATTAAAATACTTAATAATTGCATTTAAATATTTGTAATTTTAAGAACAAGAGGAAAATAGATTAATCTTGGATCTATATTGACCTTTAAGGAATAAGGATATGGTTTTTATTGCAGGCAACTAAAGACTGTGTTGCCAAGACGTTGAAAAGATTAGAGGAGAAGATCCATGACCGCGTAAGATGTCATATTCACATTACTTTCTGCATTTTGATGTTAATAAATATCATGGAAAATGATGGCGGTGCTACTGACTAATATAATGATTATCAGTTTTTATAAGTTCATGTTCAAATTTGTAATCGGATATTTTTCATTTTTGTAGGTGCTGAACCATTTGTTATATCTTATGCGAGTTTCAGAAAAGGGTTGTCAAAGACGAGTTGCTTTGGCTCTTGCACATCTTTGTTCTGCAGATGATCAGAGACAAATTTTTATTGATCACTATGGTATGCATCTTGGTATTTTTTTTCAATGGGTTTGGTTCTTGTTGCTTCTCGTTTTATAAACTTTTTTTTGCGCTTGTTCATGCAGGTCTTGAGTTGCTTCTTGGGCTTCTTGGCTCATCTAGCTCTAAGCAGCAACTTGATGGTGCTGTGGCTTTATGCAAGTTGGCCAATAAAGCCTCAACCCTGTCTCCTGTGGATGCTGCTCCTCCTTCTCCAACACCACAGGTAAATCCTGTTGGCTTGTCATTAGTTTTCAAAATTTTACTGCCTGGAGTTAAATTATAAAAGGAAGTGCTTTGATATGATCTTAACAGACCATATGTACTTGATGTCACAAGTTTTATTGTTCCCTTTACTTTCATCGTGGTATTGGAAATTATTGCATCCGCTGTTTTATGTTTAAACTTTCTTCACCGATAAGATTTTTTAAACACATTCATTCACCGTTTTACTGATATGGATCCTACCATATGTGTAGAAATACTTTGTTGTTTAAATTTTCTTCTCATCCCATTGTCATATACAGTAGTTAGTAGCCAATAACAATGACTTTCTAATATATTTTTAATTTTTATTATTTGTATATGATATTTTGTGATGACTGATGACATGTCTAGTTATAAATATATTCCATTTAAATTATAATCATTTAATGATCTAACAATTGGCAGTCATTATGATCAATGCGATTGCTTGCTGTTTTACATGCTTGCCACTTACATAAGAATCCTGATGACAAGCTCCCTCTTCACTCTGCCTTGGCTAAATAATTCTGGAACAAGGATTTTCTAAAATCTGGTATGTTTATGATCACAGACTATTCTTCTTGCAGGTCTATTTAGGAGAGCAGTATGTAAACAATGCCACATTGTCTGATGTTACCTTTTTGGTTGAAGGTTGATGCTTTTTGTCCACATTATATCGTCTCCTGAAATGTGGTGTTGTAGCTTCAGTTGGCATGTGTAGTTAACTGGGTAACCTTTGTTCTTTGTTGCAGGCAAACGATTTTATGCTCATAGGATTTGTCTACTTGCATCTTCAGATGCATTTCGTGCAATGTTTGATGGTGGTTACAGGGTGAGTTTGAGCTTCACCAATGAATTATCTTTCTCCTTGCCCCCACCCTTAGAGCCCATTCAATGAATAAGGATGCCACATGAAGCAATCTTTTAATTCCTTTACACCATTACAAAAAAAGTATGTTGGTCATAAAAAGAACTTTATTGACTTCACTTGGTTTCATGATGTAAATTATTTATCACCTATGGTTTTAGCTGTTGATTCGAGGGGTGAATTTAAATATTTAGTACATACTACCAGTGATTGTCAGTGATGTAAAAATGTGTTTTATTGCATGACAGGAGAAGGAGGCAAGAGACATAGAGATTCCAAATATTAGATGGGAGGTTTTTGAGTTGATGATGAGGTCTAGTAAATTCTGTAGTCATCTTTTTTATTGAAGTTTGTGAAATGTGAATGCTTCTAATAATTTCTGGACAACTTATATCTTATTGTTTATTTGATATCTATCCAGATTTGTATATTGTGGATCAGTTGATGTCACTCTGGATATTGCTCAGGATCTTCTTCGAGCAGCTGATCAATATCTTTTGGAAGGACTTAAGAGACTCTGTGAGTACACAATTGCACAGGTGAGCTAGGAAATTTTTTTTTATATTAGTGTATGTATCCCTGCACTAAATATTAGAGTTGAAAGTGGGCTCCTCATTACCGCATGTCTTTGTCACAGGATATATCGTTAGAGAATGTGTCAAGTATGTATGAACTTTCAGAAGCCTTCAATGCAATATCATTGAAGCATGCATGCATCCTTTTTATCTTGGAGCAATTTGATAAATTGAGTGCAAGGCCAGGGTACTGATCTGTTTCCCTCAATCCTGTTCTTTATTTCCTGTGGGTGTTTTTTTACCCTACAATATCTTCATAGTCGTGTATAATGAACTTGGTTATCTGACTTAGTAGTGTTGACGAGGTTTTCTTGTTCCGATATTCCTTTAAACATGGTTTATTATTGTACGGTATTCAGATTGGATACTAATATGAAGAATGATGTGCTGGTTTTATTTTATTTTATTTTTTATTTGGGGGGAGTGTGGTGACTTGTGTTTTATATATATAGCTGGGCATTTGCTGTTTATTTCATTTTTTGTGCATATTAAGTTGTGTTCTTAGTTCTGCTTGCTTTTAAACAAAAATAAGGCCAACTTTTGGTTTGAAATAAACTGGATAGTTCAGTTTCAGGTTGCTTAAGCAGGGTTTCTGGATGTTGCCGTAGTACTTAAATTATGAATATGATGATTGTAATTCACACATTTAACAAGGCTTGTGACGGACTAATTCTTCACCTTATATTTCTGCTTGTAGGCACTCTCTTCTGATTCAGCGAATAATACCAGAGATCCGCAATTACTTTGTTCAAACTCTGTAAAAGGCCAACAACTCCCATAACAACCGACTGTAGTATGCATCCATTCTATTCTTGACCTCTAACCAATTGTGTTGTACAGAATGTAGATGATGTTATTTCTTTTGTTGAACCAGAAGGGGATAGCTTGGCCAAAAGAAATATCTAACGCCTAAGTCATACTTCTCTTTTTAAATGAGGTGTAAGCCCCTTTCTGTCTGTAATGTCATTATCATAGATATAGCAAATATGACCTTCACGAACATTTTTTTTTCTTGCAATGTGATAGTGACTTGACAGTTCTCTCAGATGACTACGTGAGGAAATTACCATTGTTGACTTCATGACTATAGGTGTGAATATTGTTTCCCGAATGTATATATGGCGAAAAGTTGGTTTTCTGCAAGGAAATTGAGCTGCTGTGATAACTTCCGCCGGACCATTAAATCCTGTCATATGACATGGAAATCTGTTGTAAATTATTGTTGCAATTACTTCATTTAAATATTCGGATGTCCGAAGGCATGCTTCTGACGCTGCTCAAAATTTTACTATATTATGCATATAGTCCAGCAACAAGAGTTTTTGATTTATGATTGAAAAGAAATAATTAGTTGATGGCAGAAACTGGAAGTGTCATATGTATACAGTTAGCTTTGATCTAATTATCGTAACTGACTAGTGATTAAGCTGCAAACCCTAATTGACTTCTTACTAACCGTAAAAGCATGTGTATCACATCAACGCTCGACAATGGCCAACAGAGATGTTCGGTGCTTGCATAATCCAAGCATGAAGATTGAAGAGTCCTCTGATGCCTTGCACCGGGGGAAGGTACCCAGCCCGACTTCGGAAGGAATTATTGAAACGCTGAAGCCAGAAGATGGTAAAGATAGTCTGTTGGACAAAAATAGTTGGCATAAAATGTTTATAGACCTAGAAGTGTTGGATAAAAGCAGTTAAGTTAAAAGTAAACGATAGCTGTTCGATAATAAGTGTTGTGTGTGAAAAAAATGTTTTAAAATAATTGTTTTGTTAATTTTTTAATATAGCATTAATTATGTAGTATAAAATTAATTATGTAATATAAAATTAATTTTGTAAAATTATCATTCTTTTCCATATAATAACTACTTATTCCGTACTATTTTGTTTGGTGCTTTAGGAATTTGTCTTTCAATTTGAATGTTATTTTACGATATTAATATAATATTAATTATTTTTTTCTCATTATTGGTGAGAATATAAAGGTTTAAGGATATATTGAAAAATTACATAATTTATTTTATGAAATTAGACACATTATTGTATTTCTTATACATTGTATCAAAATCTTAAAAAGTAAAAAGAAAAAAAAAAAAAAGAAACAAGCAAAGTACCATTTTTATTTTTATTTTTTTTACAAGTTGGTAGAAGGGATAATGGCCCTAAATGAGAGAGGGTCATATGAATGGAGATATATACCAAGTTTCACAATAAACATATGTTGAAGGTTTTTAAGTTTTATCAAAACTCTTAAAAAGGAACTTTTAAGTTTTATCTATAAAATTTATGAGGAGAGGTATTTGTGGAGAAAAGAAAAATTAAAAGGGGGTTAAATAGTGTCAATATAAAATACAATGTTTTTTTGAAACAACGAAATTGTAATGAAAGTTTAAAAGAATGTAAATAAAGTAAATCAATACAATGAAATAGTAATGTAAGTCTAAAAGAGTGTAAAAGAAGTAAATCAAAGCACATGAAATATTTTTATCAACCATAGAGATTATGCCTATTTTTTGATTAACTTGATCAAGTTTTACCATTTTTTATAAAGACACAAATATTATTTTACAAGTTATTTCTGGTTCAACCTAACTATTTTTTGATTTGTTTCTTCAAGTAAACTATTAGAGTATTATTTAAAAAACAAAATCTCTTCGAACTTCAACACTAAGTATTATTTAAACACAATGTCTTCTAAGCTTCAAGCTAAACACTCAATTTAAGCTGAGTAAAGATAACAAACACCATCTTACTCACAAGATGTGATATAAGTTTTGATTGCAAAACTTTATAAAGAGTTTATAAAGAATGATTATGAAGGTCCTTCTCTATTCTTTGTGATGATCAAACTCCTTTATACAGGTGATATTCGAAGATAACTGTAGCAAATCCTTGAATATTACTCATCGACTTCGTCTTCTTTCCTTGTAAAGTTAAGTGTTCATTGGTGTAATAAATGCATGTATCAAATATATTTTACCAAATGATCACTTCTTAATTAATCCAGAAAGTTACTTATCATCTTTATGGTACAAAAAGGAAGGAATTGTTGCACATACCAATCAAAAATGACTTTTTAAACGACTTCACATACCTTCAAATATTTGCTTGTCCTTTTTTGGATAAAAGGAAAATCATCATTCCTTTATGAATTTCAAGTATTAAAAAAGTTTTTATTCTTTCTATGTTAATGAATAATATGAAAGCATATAATAGAAATATCATACATATTAAATGTGATATCTAAAGTATTTGTCTCAAATAGACAAAATATTCCGTCTGAGGGGTTATTATGCATTTCATCTTTCAAAATTTTCTTAAAGTTATTGTCTTAGACATATGATCTTTTATACATATCTTTTACAAATATGTTTGAATTTGTTAACATTAAAACATAACTTTTTGAGGGATCTTAGTTCATCCATTAATCCAATATTCTTTCTCTTTTTAATGGTGACAAATACATTTTTGAAAAACATATTTTTAAGCGCATAAGATCTAGTAGTGTTCATTTTAGATGATATATATCCATACAAAACATATAATCATTATCATATTAAAATATAATATAAAACATGTGTGATAAAAATCATGTAGTGTATAAATTGTGAGAGTTTAGAAAAACAATCTCCCCTTGAGATTATAGCTTAAAAGTCAAGAGAAAAAAAAATACTCCTTTGCTTGCTTACTCCCTCTTTTGTCATAATAATAAATAAAAAAAACTAGTCCAAGGGGGGTAGATTGAGAAATATATATATATATATATATATATTCAAACTATTTGTTATCCGAAACTTTTTATATTAGATAAATTCCTTAAATTATGATTATTATATATATATATATATATATATATATATATATATTTACTAACATGAATTTTATCTTTCTTTTATCTGAACACATGACTAGAAATTGAGAAATCAAGTAAACTTATAATCGTGAAGCACTTGATTTTTTTCTTCTGAGCAACACACACACACAAGTAAACTTGTAATAAAAGGAAAAACTCTGACATAAGATAACCTAACATACGTGTGCTGGCTCTATTGCTTTGCATGCAAATAAAGTTGTCACGAAGTTCCTACTTCCAAGTCTAAAAGACCCAAGCGATGGAGTGCTTCTTGTGTTATTACCTAAAATCAATTTAGCATATCCATTGTAATTAACTTTATGTTTTAATGTAAAGTTTATGAATAAATTAATTTTAATACGTACATATTTAATAATTTGGATTATGTTGCCCTCCTCACCGTTAGGCCTTAATAGTGTTTTGTTTGGCTGCCTGCTAACTATGTAATTCACGAAGCCATCTAATGTTCCTGTTGCTTGGCCAGCACATCATGATCAAGTGGCATATGTCATATGTTTATGCCTCGCGTTTACCATTTACCATCAAGACTTTAGAGTGCATGGCCATGGGACAGGTTATAAAAATAAAATTAAATAAAACTTATTGTATAGAATTAAATATGTTTTTGTTCTTGTAAAATGAATAAATTTTACTTTTTGTAAAAAATGTAATTTTTTTTATTTTTAAATTAAATTATTACTTTTGGTCTCTTTAATGATACCATATTAACATAAGTCACTCTTAATTTTTTTTATTCTAAATCTTTAAATGAATGTTATTAATTTATATACATGAATTAAAATGGATATTAGATATAAAATCAATTATTTCATATTTTAGAGAAGAGGAAAGGGTCCATTTATTAAACTTAAAAAGAAATATTTTCAAACAAATGCTATTAAAAAAAATAATTTTTTAAGAAGCAGATAAGAGTTGATTATAAAATTAAAAAAACAGAAAACTGTTTTTTTATTTTATTTTATAATTTTTTTAATTTTAATTTAGACAAACACATTAAAAAATAAAAAAGTACTTATTTTATTTAAAAATGTATTTACAAGAATTTTTTTAAAAACAAACGAATCCAAAATCACAACGAATAAAATCAAAATTTTCTCATATCCTTTTAGCCCAAGTATAAAAGGCTTACACCAAATCTAATTTGTTAATAGACCTCAATCTTACAGTATACAGTAACTTAATATATATGGTAACTTTGATAAATTTTGTAACACTCAATTAATAAATTATAAATAATCAACAAAATTGTTTGATTTGATCTAGTTAAAAAAAATTATTAAATTTTTATATTAATTAACCATGGAAAATAATAAATTAGTTTCTATGAATTTTTTGTAATAAATACTAAAATATATATATAATTAAATCATTTGAGTTGATTATTTGATTGATTAATTATTATTTTTAGCAATAATTATTTACAATAATTATTAGTAGATTATTTTAATTTTACGAATCCTTTTAGAAATATATAGTTTATATATAATAACATTAATTTTAAAAAATTTATATTGCTAAGTAAATTTTTTAATTTTAATTAATAAATAAAAAATTAATTTAATATATTATTAGATTGTGTGCTTTGCATCAATTATTTATGGATTAATTTTCCTTACAGTTAAAAAACAGTAAATAATTTTTAATATATATATACACACACATATATATATATACACTATTATTTATTTAAAAATGTAAAAATCAAATTAATCTATAAATAATTTACGTAAAGAATTGTTTTTAAAAAAAAATTAAGTTATTGAACAAACAATTAACTCAAATGATTTAATTATTTCATTAAATCTTAAAAGATTCATTAGTACCAACATACATTGATCCAGTTAGTATTACCATTCGTACTTAAGTCTCAATGTATTTAGTTCGAGAAATTCATTAATTTATTACAATAAAACGCTACAAAATTGATATAATTATATCTATGTACAAAAATTTTTTTTGTGTAAAATTAATCTTTTAATATTTTTATAATTAATTAAAAAAACTAAATAAATAAATAATATAATCAATTAAATCAAATAATTTTTTTTACAGTAAATCAAATCACGCTTTTAACTGATTGATTAAAGATATTGAATTGGTTGTGTCAAATATATAAGTTAATATATATATATATATATAGGATTACTAGGGTTAGTCTAGTAGTTAGGTAGGGAGAGATTGATATATATCTAAAGATTTAGATGTAATATAAACGAATCTTATCCTTATATAATAATATTTTATAAAAAAAATCTTTCAAATCAAATCAAATAATTTACTATATGTATTATATATGTCAAATAATCTATGCTTATTTAATAATTTAGATTTAGATTTGGTGGAAGTTTTAGAACGAATATTATCCTAAACTACTTACAGTAGGTAAAAAAAAAAGTTTTACAGCATAATAAATCAACTTTTAAAACTGTTTATCAAATTTCTTTGTTTTAATCTTTAATTTATATTTATATTACTCCGACAAAGCCAAAGTGGCCTAGCGATATAGGGTGTCACCAAAGTTTTTTCTTAGAAATTACCACAGTTAAAACTTATATCATTTATGAAACACATTATTGGTAGAAATTACAGGTGCCTTCAGTAACTAAAAAATATTTGCAAAAGTCTACGTGTAATTCTTCATCTTCCCCTTTATTATTATTTTTTTTTGTTTTAACGATGTTTGGAGCATACATTATTGAACGTGGAACCTTATGCAAATCGATTGGATGTTCCTGCTCGTATAGCTCCTTTAGAGAAAAGAATCTAAAACAAATTATTTAATCTATATAATATAAACATTTAATTGATAGATTAGGTTTCTATTTTTCAACAAAATCTATTTATAATTTTAAGAAAATTTATCTATAATTTTTAAAAAATAAATTAGTAATTTTATATACAAAGAAAAAAATGTAATATATTATTCACTTATTTTCTTTTATTTTTCTTGATACTAATCTATCTAATTGTCAATGTAAATTGATAGATAAAAAATGATTTGAACTTTACGTATTTCCTTTTCTATCCTTAGTTTCTCTTATGCTTTATAAATTCTCTTATCCAATTGTGTTGGAATATGAAAATCAAGCCGCAAATACGATGCCATCTAAATTGCCCTATAAATAGGACGGTAACGAAACGAATCAAACATCCAACGAAAACGTAAATCTAGATTTCTTTTACGCTCTTCTTTCCATATTGCAAACAATTCTAAAGCTTCCATATTATATTTGGCTTTCCTTGGAAATATAACCTTACAGATAAACTTCAAATTTTCAAGTATATTCAGACAGTAATTAAGTTAGTGATCAATAATATATGGAGAGAAAAAAATCATCAGTCCTACAGCATCCGAGCAATGGAAACTTGGTCACTATTCTCAGCATCGACGGAGGTGGTATCAGGGGCATTATCCCCGCAACTGTTCTAGCTTTTCTTGAAGCGCAGCTTCAGGTATATACCATATGTTATATGTGCATGTCATTACATTATAATGTGCTTCTGTCTAATTAGGGTGTGTCGATTCTATTTTTAATACATTGTTCTCATCTCTTTTAAGTCTTTCGTTGCTATTTATCAACTTTATTAATATTTTATTTCTCTCATGATAACTTAATGATAAATGATAAAGATAAAATTGATATATCATAAATTCGTTTTATAAAAATAAAATAATTATTATATTAGTATGAATGGTTGGATTGAAAAGTGTGTTATAATAAGTAGAGTGTATATATATAGTGATCCTCAGAAGGAAAAACAGATTATCTTACTTTGTGGTTAATTAACACTAACATGTTAACGACAATCTATATATACATGCATGCAGGAGTTGGACGGTGAGGATGTAAGGCTTGCAGACTATTTTGATGTGATTGCAGGAACAAGCACAGGTGGTCTTGTAACTGCCATGTTAACTGCTCCAAATCATAATCAGAGACCACTATTCGCTGCCAAGGATATCAAGCCCTTTTACTTGGATCATTGCCCTAACATTTTCCCACAACACAGGTATGGTATATATATATATATATATATAAAAGCATAGTTTCAACTAATTAGAGAGTGATAGCATTTCTCACATTAATTATTATAAGATCAATGCTATAATTGTTTATGAATTATATTTGAATTGAACACATGCAGTGGTCTGTGGGGATCGATAAGAAAGTTGGTGAGATTACTAGGAGAACCGAAATACGATGGAAAATACCTTGAAGGAGTGGTGAGGGAGAAACTAGGAGAGACACGTTTGCATGAAACGCTGACGAATATTGTGATTCCAACCTTTGACATAAAGACTCTGCAACCAATCATCTTCTCCTCTTATCAAATAAAGAGGTCTCCTTGCTTGGATGCTCGACTCTCTGATATATGCCTCGGCACCTCTGCTGCACCTACTTATCTTCCACCCTACCACTTCAAGAACCAAGATCAACAAGGGAACATAAAAGAATTCAACCTCATCGATGGTGGCGTTTGTGCTAATAATCCGGTATATGTTTATAAATTAACTATTTCTTTCTACTATTTATTAGAAAATTTTTAGTTCAAGTAATTTGTGTTACATCAGTATGAAATTACGATTGAAAATATTATTATAGGAACCAATACTTTACTCCTGTAGGGACTAAATTAGTGGAAATAAATTATACATTTATACCTCCTTTCAAAAAAAAAATTCAATAGAGACTACATATATTTATTTTCTAATAGCAATTGAGGACTAATTATTTACGTTTTGGGGAATTTGATGATGCAGAGTTTTGTGGCCATGAATCAAGTAATTAATGAAAATTCCGAGTTATTTTCTATGAAGCCAATGGAATATGGTCGTTTCTTGATAATCTCTCTAGGCACTGGGACCCCCAAGAATGAACAGAAATTGGATTCAGAAATGGCAGCAAAATGGGGTGTATTGGATTGGTTAATCCACTGTGGTTCCACTCCATTGATAGATGTGTTTACTCAATCCAGTGGGGATATGGTTGATTTCAATATTGCCACTGTCACTCAAGCACTACATTCACAAAATAATTACCTCCGGATACAGGTGTTGTAATTAATTACCAATACCTCTAATCTTTCTCCTTTCTTTTATAATAAAAATATTAATAATATAGTCTTTGGGAAATTGAATGAACATACAGGACGATACGTTGACGGGTACGGAATCATCACTTGATATTGCCACGAAAGAGAATTTGGAAAAACTTAGCCAAATTGGAGAGAGGTTGTTGAAGAAAGCAGTATCTCAGATCAATTTCGATACGGGTTTGCTTGAGCCCTTGGGAAATGGGGAGACCAATCAAGACGCTCTCACAAGGTAACATTAAAAACTACATAGACAAAATAAGCAGTAGCATAATTTATTGAAAATCATAAAATCTTATGAGTCTCATTTTATTTTTATGAACTTTTATGATATATTTTTTATTTTTAATAAATTTTAATGAAGAGAAATGGTGTCATCATACTTTATAACGCATCCTTTTATCATATTACAAGAAAAAATATATTCAAAAGAATATGTTATAAGTACCTAGATACTCTAGATTTTTTAATTTCTAAAAGACAATAAACAAAATACCCGACAAAGATCCTGTTTATAATGAAAACAACATTATTCACATAAACAATTCCAAAAATATATCAGCAATTTTCGTGAAAAACTATACCACATTCATACTCTTTAGCAGAGCAAGTAAAATTAATTAATATTGGTGTTAATCTTTGTAGGTTTGCGAAAATACTTTCACAAGAAAGGAGGCTCCGAGAATTGAAATCTCCTCACACTGACAAGACCTGAGACGTTCGTTGTTCATGAATTCTGAGTTTCCATTCTATGTTTTAGAGTTCTTCTATTTAATGTTACTCAATAGAATTTAGGTTTTTTTTTGTTTGGTAGAGAATAAAATTTAGGTTTCAATTTCATGTATTCTTTATTTCTTTTATGTGTAAACGTGTTTTTGTTCTTTTATATTCATTATCAAGATTTTTTATTTTATGATTAATTAGTACTATTTGAGTTTTTTTCTAAAGTATTTACAAAAGAAGAAGAAAAAAAAAATCTCCGTAATGTTGAGTTGTAACAGTAAAATATTTTGGACTACTCTGCATACTGAGAATTGAACTCGTGATATACGGGCTTTTAATGGACCGTATTGTTTGGATTATTTTATTTTTGAAACTTGGACAATACTTTAAAGGCTTAAATATGTTTAAACTATCTCAAATTAACTTGATTTTTAGATTATTACTTTTTAATTTTTTTTTATAATTATTTGACAAATTATTTTTTTAATTAAGTACTTGACGTTAATTTCTTCTGTTAAATGATGACGTGACAAATAGACTGTCACGTCATCACCTAACAGTGTGTCTGTCACATTATCCAAGGGACTGCCACATGGACATGGTGATGAAGTGACAAACACTGTTGAGTGATGACGTGGCAGGACCAACGTCAGGTAAGTATTTAAAACAAAAAATAATAAATTAATAGGTAGTAATCTGAAAACTAACCTAATTAGAAGTAGTAATCTGAAAAACCGACCTAATTGAAGGTAATAATCTGAAAACCGACTTAATTGACTAATTATAACATTAGATCAACTTATATTTATTACTTAATTTTTATTTTATTTTATCTTTAATAAAAGCACGAAGTGTCTCGACCTTACTAGTGGAAATAAAAAGATTTGAAACTCATTTTTTTTATTTTTCATCTGAGATAATTATTTTATACTAAACAATCTTCTAATTTCATTTCTTATCTAATTTTTTCTCTCCATTTTCAATTCTTTTTTTCTATTTATTTTATACCAAAGAAGGACTAAGAAAAGTCGTTCAATGCAGGTTAACAATGCAGGGATTAGTGGAACTGAAATTAAAAACACTGATTTATTCCAAGGAGTCCCGCAGAATCGTTTGGCGAATTTGGTGAGTATATGACATCTTAAAATCTAGTTAATAGATGCGAAAAGTTTTACATTGTTCTAAAGGTACCTAAGTTTGCCACTTTTCAACAGTATTTTAAATTCCAACAACAGAATGATTATGTTTTGCTACCCAGTCCTGTGTATAAATTATGAAGAATTATTTTTGCATGAGTATTTTTAAAAAAAAATTAATGAAAGAAATTTTAAAGATTCTTTCAATTTTATATTTAGTTCAATTTTTATTTATTATAATTATTTAATAATTAAGTTTTAAATTTAAATATTTTTTTAGTTTATGTAAAACGAATAAATTTTAATTTTAATTCTTCAAAAATATATTCTTTATTTTTATCTCTCTAAAATTTTTAAATATTATTTTTTATCCTTGTAAAATTTTCAGATTACTACTTTCAATTAGGTCGGTTTTCAGATTACTACCTTCAATTAAGTCGGTTTTTCAGATTATTACCTCCAATTAGGTCAGTTTTCAGATTACTACCTATTAATTTATTATTTTTTGTTTTAAAAACCTGACTATTTTTTTCCTTCAATTTAGTACTTGACATTGGTCCCTCTCTGTCAAGTGATGATGTGGCAGACAGACTGCCACATCATCACCCAACAGTGTTTGCCACGTCATCACCATGTCCACGTGGTAGTTCCTTGAATGCCGTGGCAGACACTGTTGAGTGATGACGTGGCAGTTCGTTTGTCACGTCATCATTTAACAGAACAAACTAATGTTAGGTACTAAATTGAAAAAAAAATAATTTGCCAAGTAATTTTAACAATTTTTTTTTTTAAAAAGTAGTAATATGAAAATCGAGCTAATTTAAGATAGTTTAAACATATTTAAGTTTATTTTAAACAAGCTTAATTGCATTGAGATGACATAGTTTATTTTACCTAGAATGCAACGAGAATAAAATGAGATTTTAACCTGCAACTCTTTATTTCATAATTTCATATAGTGTTAATGAGTAGGAATAAGAGAAATATAATATTAATGTAAAAAAAATTGTGGAGATTAAAAGTGCACGTATATTTATTAGTATTAAATAACTAATATAACTTTTTAAAATCAAATAAAAGACAAATTTTTATTAATATTATATGTCTCAATTATAATTTAATCACTTTTATTAATTTTTCTGTTATATAATTGTTTTTTTAAGTTTGTATTTTTTCTTCGAATATTTAACTGGCTGAAATAAAATATTATTCTTTGTCATAATTTTTTATATTTCACTAAATATAATTATATTTTACCAACAAGTTATTAATTTAATAGGAATTAAGTTTTAATTCAAATAAGGTCTTGAAAAAAATGTAATTAAGATAATAAATCTCATTAAATATAATTAGTCGAATTTTTTTTAACAGAAACTAATAATTAACAATAAAGTATATAAATATTTCATACATATTTCTATAAAAATATATATATATATATATATATGTACAAATAATATATTTTATTGTTAGAACGAGAGGAGAACATGAATTTAATTATAAGTACAAAAATATCCTTATTAATATGAGGCATATTGAAAAATGACTAAAAATGAATTTAGAAAAATTTAAATTCAAAATAAACAATATGATATCGGAGACTTTAAATAAAAATCCGTCCGATGAAATCCATTGTATTTTATTTTAAGAATTGTTGAAATAGAAATTAATATCTGGAAATATAGAGATGATCTCCAAACTATGGTGTAACTGGTGTTGGATTAGGGAATCACGATTGACAATTTCGAACCTTGGTGATCTGAATAAACTATCGAAGTAAGTTTTGTGCAAATTCCTTTCTAAAGCATAGCTTTTGCACTGTTTTATCTATTTTTCATTAATAGTTTTTGTTCTTGGCCCTATTTTTTTAGGTCCTAAGTACTGATCCATGGCTTTAATCAATCACCATCATTGCTCCATTGTAATTGATTACAGGAGGAAGGAGCTTGGAAAGAAGGTGTTGCTTAACGTTCACAAGAAGTGTTGTTAAAACGATGATTGTAGTCAATATGTTATTGTCCTTATATGGATTTAGTAAACATTAGAAATATACTCCTCAGTTCGTGTTACTTTCTGTCTCTGGTTTCAGATAAGGATACTGCGTGCATGCCTGCGTTCTTTTGACAAGCTAGCTAACACAAGTTATTTTTTTCTTCATAAAGTGTCAACTGTCTTCAAATAAATCAACACCAAAAGTTGGCTTTAGAAAGATGAGACATGTTATCAGATGTTGCTGCTTTTCATTTATAATATTTATAAAATTTATGAATTTATTTTAATATTTGATGATGATATATAAAAATTAAAATTTAATTTATATTTTTTTTTATCTATAGCCAAATTAAGATTTAAAGAGATATTTCAATTATATGAAAAAGATTAATACAAAGCATTTGAATATATATTTTGATAAACAGTAAGTGAAAATATATTTATTTTTTTATTATAGAATTTTATTATCATCACCTTTTCATAATATTACTTATATCATTTAGGAAGGTAACTTTGAAAAGTTACAAAATATTTGGAAGGTCTAATATTCACTCATAATAATGTGTTTAATTTTTTAATGTCACATCTTCATGTTGTGTTATTGTTTATTTACTTAAATTTTAAATTTCTTTGTTAGAGGATCATTGTTTAAAATACAGTGATATTAAATAAAACTCAACTTTAAAAAATAGTGAAAAAATAATTATTAGCTCAAAAATTAGAAAGATAATATAATAATATGATTATGAAAATATTTTATTTATGTCAATTTAATAGATAAAAAAATATAGTTGTAACATTTCTTTATTTAAATCAATTCTAACTCATAAAAACATTTTATATGTTAAGTTAAATCAATAAAATGAAATATTAAATAATTTATGATTTTTTTAAAAAATCTTACAAACTTGATTATGCATGACATTCTAACCCGGCTCCGTGGGTAACCGTCCGAACCCATCCTGATTTGGACGGGGAAAATCCATGTTGATCGAATTCAGGTTTTCTCTAATTGGTAAAATCAGAGACGGGGATATTAATATCCGCCCTACCCCGCTTAATAATATAATTAAAAAAACTATCCTTATATATATATATATAAACCAAAATTAGAAACCTTATCCTTATATATATATATATATATATATATATATATATATAATTCTATCATTTGAACCACCGATTTTTAAAGATAGGAAATATTATAAAGATGATCGTAATGAAGATTAAACTTGGATACTCTAACTATCCCAACTCCTCTCCACCCCACCAATTTTGTACAATATTTTTTTAGTAAAGATAGGAAAGATTACAAAGATAGTCACAATAAAGATTAAACCTAGGTCCTCATGTTTCTAACTACCCCACCCAACCACTAGGCTAACTCTAGTGGTTACCAAAAGGCTGTACAATATAATTAAATAGAAATTTCAACAATGTATTTTTAATTTTTCTAAATTATGCAAGTTATTATTAATATACATTTATGACTTATTTATTATTATTTTTTTCCAAAGTCACCAATTTAAGCATGTGATTATTGATGGAATTGTAAATCAATAGTGAACCACTTTCATAATAGCAAAGAAAATGTTTTTGAGCGTAATATCATTCTTAATAATATAATTAAAAAACTATCCTTATATATATATATATATATATATATATAAACCAAAATTAAAAAAATTTATGTAAAAATTTGTATTATCTTATTTTTCTTTTATTTTTTTTTATATTTATTAGAAACAAAAAAAGGGTCAAAGAGCGGGAGCGATGGTAGAGGCGGGG